TGACTCCTAAGCAGGTTTGATGGTATCCTGTTTTGTTTTTAAATCAGGCTTAGAGAAAAACAATGTTATCCATGTGCCAGCCCTTCAAGGTAGGCCAGATCAAGCAGCAGGCATTCCAAAAATGTTCTTTATTGTAGTACGGGAGAAACTTTCCAAGTTTCTCTCTGTCCCATCTTATATTAAACAAAATCAAAGTGGGGTTATTTTGAGTTTCTTTCTCATGCCTCCATCAGGAGCGTATAATCTTTTCCACAAGTCCTCCCTTAATGGCTCACTCATTCCTTCCTGAAGGCCAGTTCTAAATGTCTTTACAGCATGTGACCCCACTTCCAAGTGGTGAAAAGCTCCAGGGATATCAGCTCCAAGTTGAGCATCCTTGGAAAGAGGCTGTTGGGAGACTGATGTATTATGGAGCATAATATAAGGCTTCATAGCAAAGGATTCCCTCTCTCATCCCAGCAGGCTAAGCCCTTCTCTGGACATTTGGAGGAAGGGAAAGGGAAATTATCTCAACCTATCAGTAGCCCCCCGAGCACAACTCACCTTCTAGGCTCCAATACAACTGCACTCACAGAAATGACGACTGATCCTAGATGTGATCTCATGTGTTTTAAAAAATGTCTCGCCAAACTTAGGGGGGGGGGGCAGGTTCCAAGTGAGGACAATTTAAATCCAACATAAACTGCCTTTGATGTGCTAAATTTGCAATGAAGATGAAAATGCATTTTAGGGACAGTCTCCAGTGGGCAAAAGTTATGCTTGGATCCCTTACCTGTTGGAAAGTCTGCTGGACTTTCAAATGAAGGTATTCTCTGTATGAACAAATATGCAGTTAGTACCTTATGGCTATCTGGGATCCCTCACATAGAGAGTAATCAAAGGAAGGGCTGGTATTCATATTATTGAGTAGATAATTCCAAGTCAGAAGATGTTAAATCCAACCAGGCTGGACCAAAGGATCTTGCTTTGCTACAATGAATCTTTACAGCCCTCTGCTGGCTAGATCAAGCAATTGCATCTACTCCATCTCCTGCTTCTCCCTCTCACCTATTCTGCCCTCCAGTGGAGAGGTCATACAACTGCAGCCCCTCACTGTCTAACCAACCTCTCAGTGTGGCATTTTCTAGACAGGTTGGACTAAAATATCAGGATCACCTGGAAGCATAGTCAAGAAATGTGTATAGAAGAGGCCAAGACATTTTATTTCTACATTATCCCCCTACCCTTTCCCACAAGGGAATCTGAATGCCCAAAGCCTGAAAAGTGTCCAGCACATGAGGGCTGTGATTTTCATGTAAGAAGCGGAGCTTGATATCCTTGCTTCTTATACATCTCTTCTAAGATCACTCTTCCTACCTGCAAATTTCAAATC